CACATGCTATTGCTCCTCCTGCCTTTGTCCTACCTCAATAAAAGGGGCTCTCAGACCCCCAATCTGGGTCGCTCCAACCCGAGAAAGATCGTGTCCTGTCTTTTCTCCACATTGGCCTCATGGGCGACCCATGGGAACGTCACATTTAGTAGCAGAGGATGGTTACTTCGCATAGATAGAAGCTTCTCATCCAACCCAGAGATAGAGCCTGTTTTGTGGGACAGCCAGACCAAGGCTCGCAGACCTATGTATCAAAAAAACTTCATTGACTTCATAGAGTCATAGGGTTGGGAGGGACCTAAGAGATCTTCTAGTTCAGCCCTCAGCCCAAGGCAGGAGAACCTATTGCATCCTGGACACATGGGTCTCCAATCTCTTCTTAAAAACCTCCAGCAATGGAGCACCCGCAGCTCCTGGGGGCAAGCTGTTCTATTGATTGAATGTCCTCACTGTCAAGGAATTTCTCCTTCGCTCCAGAATGAATCTCTCTTTAATGAGCTTCCCACACCCATTGCTTCTTGTCCTGCCCTCAGGTGCTTTGGTGCTTTCTTTTTCTTGAACAAGCAGTTTTGCCGGCCACATCCACATTCCCAAAATTCCAATTTATACCAACTCCATCATTAACATCCCTTGCACTTAACTTTCTAAATAAAAGGGAAAGGTAAAAGTTCTCCTTGCACATATGTGCTAGTCATTCCCGACTCTAGGGGTGGTGGTGCTCATTTCTAATTTCCCTACTGTGTCAAGCCCAGTTTCATTGCGGGCCACATCAGGGTTGTGTTTGACCTCGGGTGGGGGTGGGCCCAACACTCGTGTCGGGGGGGTCCCTGTAGCGGCCCGAGAGCTCTGCCAGCGAAAATGGGCTCCTGAGCTTCGTTTTAGTCTGCGACGGCCTCCTGCAACCCTCTGTTGGGAGGGTTGCATGCTGGCAGAAGATTGCAGGAGGCCATCGCAGACGAAAACGGAGCTCAGGAACCAGGGGTGGGTTTCGACCGGTTCGCACCGGTCCCTGCGATCCGGTTGGTCGCCGAACCCGGAAGTAAGTAACTTCGGGGAACGGCGAAGCCCCCCCCGCGCCCGCGCGCGCCCGCACACCCGCACCCGCTCCTTACCTGGTTTTTACTAATTCTGCGCTTTCCACGCATGCGCAGAACGCCTGCGCGATCCTCCAGGAGCAGCTGGAGCATCGCGCAGACGCTAGTACGCATGCGCGTGCCACGTGCATGCACGCGCACACTGCATACATGCGCGAGGACGCCGCGTGCGTGCGCGAGGACGTCATGTGCGTGCGCGAGGACGCCGCCGGCCTTGTTCCAACCGATCCGGTTGGAACGGGGCGAGAAACCCACCCCTGTCAGGAACCCATTTTTGCTGGTAGAGACACCGCGGGCCAATCCTTCGCTGTTTCCAGGGCGGCCCCACAGGCCAGATCTAAGCTCCCCGCGGGCCTTGAGTTTGACACCCCTGCCCTACTGCATTCCTTTCGCGGTACGTAGAAAACCAGAGGGGGGAAAATAGGTCTGAATTTTTCAGAACTTCCTGAAACCAGACACAGAAATAGCCTCACGGCAGAAGACTTTACAATCTCAAGGAGGGATTCACCTGCCCAGAAGAAACTATTTACAGGCATGCTTGGAATCCTTAGTTTCTTTCTCTACCTGTTCCTCATTTGAGGGCTCCTCCTCCTTTTATCAGACCTGTTCTCCTAGGGAGCATCTCTTCCTCCTTCAAGGTCATTTCCACATACCACGTTTCAG